TGGGGGGGGGAAGAAGAGGAAAAATGGAAAGGGCCTTGCTCTGGATGGCACATCTGGCTGAATGCAAAGGGCCTTGCTCTGGATGGCACATCTGGCTGACCACGACTGGACAGGCTGTGAACGTGGGCTCTGTGTGACCCCTGCTTGCCAAGGTGCTGAGAGGCTGCGAGGCTGAGTCTGGCCACCCCAGAGCTGGGTGCTGTGCCTGACCCCAGAGCTGGGTGCTGTGCCTGACCCCAGAGCTGGGTGCTGTGCCTGACCCCAGAGCTGGGTGCTGTGCCTGACCCCAGAGCTGGGTGCTGTGCCAGCCCTGCACACCCTGCCCTGGGCTCCCTGGCAGCACAGCGACTGCCAACGGGAGCAGCACAGGACCCACAGAGGGGCATTAGTGACAGGATGAGAGGAAACAGCCTCAGGTTGCACCAGGGAGGTTTGGGTTGGATATTAAGAATGATTTTTTCCCCACAGGGTTTGTCAAGCCCTTTCCCAGGCTGCCCAGGGCAGTGGTGGAGTCCCCACCCCTGGAGGGGTTTCAGAGCCGTGGAGCTGTGGTGCTTTCAGAGCTGTGGAGATGTGGTGCTGAGGGATATGGGTCAGTGGGACCTGGCAGTGCTGGGGAAGGGTTTAACTCCATGAGCTGAAAGGTCTCTTCCAACCCAAACAATTCTGTGATTCCCAGCCAGCTCTGCCAGCCCAGCCCATGTGCCCACAGCATCCAGGGCAGCCCGAGGGCTGCAGCCAAGCGCCTCCATCCCTCTGGAAACAGGAATCAAAGTTCCTAAATCACCTTTGCAGCCTCTTCCTCTGACTGTCTTCCTCCCCCTGAGCCTCCTCAGAGCGTTCTGCCCAAGGAATGAGGGCAGGATTTGGCCCAGTGCTCAGCCCTCCTTATAAATCACCTTCCCTCCTACTGTGCTGCACAGCAGCAGCGTGGAGTGGGAGGCTGCTCTCCCCAGTCAGCACCTCCCCAACTTTAGCAGGACATTAAGCGCCTGAAAATATGCCACAGATTTATTTGCCTTGGAAGCGAGTTAAATCCCTGACAGCTCCAGTTGCTTTTCCTCAGGTGCTGAAGTAATTTGGGGCTGGGGTGGCTGGGTTTTTGTTTTAACCTGATAGCCTGGGCTGGAAGGCAGCTTTGTTAAAGTGCTTGTAGAGTAGGTGGTCAGGGTACAATTTCTCTCTTAATTTATGTCTCTTCTCCTGTCCCCAGCCTGGTGCTTGCAGCACTTTAGCTGTGCAGTGCTGCTGGCTGTGGAGCTGCCAGCAGGTGTGTGCAGGCAGGTACAGGGCTCCCCAGCACCCTTCCTGTGCCCAGGAGCTTGGGTTTATTCCACGTGGGATGGAGGGAGTGCCAAGTCCTCCTGTGAGTTCTCAGGGCAGGGCTGCTCAGAGCAGGACCCGTGCTGGCGTTGTGGAGCTCCTGTGCTGCATGTGATGGTCAGCATCTGCCTTCTGGGTCAGCCTCACAGTGCCAGAGAAGGGACATTCCCCCTCTGCCAGCTCTGTGTCAGCACCCAGACTCCCTCAGGGGGCACTCCAGGGAGAGAAGGGTGCTGGTGGTGCCCCAAAATGTGAACGTGGGGCCAAGCTGTGTCACGGGGTCTCTGATACCCAGTGTGCTGTGTCCCAGCTGCACTGGGAATGAACAGCTCAGCCAAGGCTATCAGGAGCATCGTTCCAGGGTGCCCCCACAGCCCCCCAGCACTGTGGCTTGGCCATGGGGAAGGTGAGGAGCTCGGTGCCTTCTGCAGTGGGTCACATCCTGTCCTTCAGCTGGCTGCCCAGGGAGGGGAAGGCGCCTGTCCCTGCAGTCATTAAAGGCTCACTTTGCAGCTCCAGTTATTCCAAATTAAAATACCACATTGTTTTCACGAGGAAAATGGATTATAGGCTCAGGGAAAAATGCGTTTGGCTCAAAAATCCTTACTGCAAAAGCCCTTCTCCCATCACTGAAACTTTTTGTCACCAGGCAGGAGCCAGAAGGGTGCCCTGGGTGCCACGGGCACTGGGTAGGAGGTTTTATTTCCTTCAGGTCCCACGTCCTGCATGCAAAAAAAGCCCAGCATGACCCCAGAGTGGCTGCTTTCTAAATCTCACACACCACACGAAGCCTTTTTATCCCCCTGCACCTGGAAGGTGGCATTGAGGGGGACACAGGGACCCCCTGATGGATTTCACAGCTGCCGAGTGCCAAAATCCAGCCTGACCCAGCCCCCCAGAGCCCTCCCTGTTTCTAGCTCCCTGCAAACAGCGCCGAGCAGAGGATTTGGGGACCTGCAGCCCAGCCCATTGCCCCGGGCTGCCCTGACCCTGTCACCCCCTGCCTTCCCTGCAGGCTGTTAATGGAGAGGAGGGCGGATGACAGCCGGGACCGTGGTCATCACCGGTGGAATATTAGCGACTGTCATTTTGCTCTGTATCATCGCCGTCCTCTGCTACTGTAGGCTCCAGGTAAGGCTGGGAGAGGGGGGATGTGGCCCCTGGAGGGTGCTGCCATAGGAAGGGGGACCCCACGGGCTCCCCTGCTGGCCCGTTTCCACGGCTGGCACACCCACAGCAACCCTTCGGCGGCGGGGTGGGTGGTTTGGGGGTGCCGGCCGAGCATCCCCACGGGGCCATCCCGTTTCAGTACTACTGCTGCAAGAAGGATGAGTCCGAGGAGGACGAGGAGGAGCCCGACTTCGCCGTGCACTCCCACATCCCTCCTCTCCACTGCAACCGCAACGTAGTGTTGACCAACGGGCCGGCCATCTACACCTCCTCCCCCTTCGGCAAGAAACCCACCCCGAGCCGGCCCAGGTGCCCCCGCTGGACCCCCTCAGAGCCCCCCCACAT